CCCCGCACACCACATAAAGGACCCAACTAGTACAAACTAGACCCGAAAGTGGCGTGCCTGTGTTTGGAATGCCTGCAATGACCGAAGCCTCACAAGTAGGTCAAGTTAAGAAGAAGAGAAGTAGAGGTAAGAAGAGACCACCTAAGTTCAACCGTTGCATGTTCGAGTTTGCGCGTGCCCCTGATTCTCAGATGCATAAGACATTTCTAGAGTTGGGAATCCCACATGTACCCCTAAGCAAGGAACACCTCGACCTGACAAACGCCGACATGCAGGACCAACTCCATAACCATTTGGAGACCTGTGAGGAGGTGCCAGACCTGTGGGCGTCAATACCCTGTACCTCAGGGTCCCCATGGCAAAGGGTCAACAGGTCCAAGGGAGGTGCACGATTTGCCCGTGTACACGCACAGCAGGTTCGTGAATCCAAGCGCCTTTTCGCAGAATTCGAAAGAAGCGCAGGGATCGTCCTTAGCAGGGGGGGCACTGTGACCTTTGAATGGCCAAAGGGCTGCGAGAGTTGGAATCGCCGTGACGTCCAGTCGTTCTTTGATTCGCGTCCAGAATTCCAACAAGTCGAGTTTGATGGTTGCGCAGTAGGAGTTATATCCACTAAGGATAGACCCATTAAGAAGACCTGGAGACTCATGACGACAAGCCAGCGCATCGTAGATGCTTTTTCGCAGCACAAGTGCACGCACTCCCCACATGAACACGATCACGCGGTTGGGTCTCAGACCGCAAAGACGAGGGTAAATGGTAGGCGAAATAGCCAGAGCTTTGTACCCCCAAAAGGGTAATCTAGCTCCAGCCCCAGCCATGCCATGTGTAGTCCCAGCCGCTGCCTCCCAGGCGCGGGAAGAGGATCATAGGGTGAAAGAGCAATCTTTGAAACACATCTCCGCACTTGCAGGAGCCGACACGTTTGCATTGGCCGTCGAAACCGACGAAGTTGCAAACCAGATGGCAGAATGCCTGATGGATTTGGAAACTCTCGTTCGAACTGCATTCGATATTCCTGAAGATCCTGAACATCACGGTAGGGTACATGCCATGGTAACTAAGTTGCTCTCTAGAGCAGAGATGTTAGCGAACCCTAAAGCCGAGAAAGTAAAGGAAGAAGCAACATCCCTGACCGACATCGGCGCATGGGATCTTGATTCGGTTCAAGAATATGATGCAGTCAAGGCTGAAGCAAAGGCTAGCAAAGTGTCCGTACACTTTGGCCGTCGATCTAATGACTATCGCCTCGATTAAATTTTGGGAATTGGCTGAACACCTCCACAAAATGAAGGGGCGAATAGTATATCGCGGCGACTGTGCACGCGACGAGAATGGCGTCGCCGCCGTCTACGAGGAATTGGGCGCGAACCCAACCTCCGTACAGGGATTAAACGCCTGTCTAGCCTACGGCTCCTTGCCGGGACATGCCTGCACGGCGGCGGACGCCGTGAAGGCTTATGTTCAAGCCTTTCTCAAGAGTAAGTACAAAACGTGGATCGAACTCCCACCTGAACTCCGCCCGGAGTGGTGGAAGGGAAAATTCACCCGTCCAGTGGTACTTCTAGTGAGGGCACTATATGGACATCCCGATGCAGGCGGAATGTGGGAAAACCACTTAAAGGGGATTTTAAAGAAAATGAACGGTGAGGAGATTCCTGAGTACCCCGGAAATTTTTATTTCAAAGGGACAGGTCTCATGTTATCTACGTACGTAGACGATTTGACATTATCCGGACCTTCTGAGCACCATGCTCCTTTCTGGAACCAGCTAATGTCAGAAGTAAACGTAGAACCTCCCGAAACCATTTATAGAATCCTCGGACGAAACCATGTGTATGCCAGTTTCGACAAAGTACAGGGTGAAGAGAACGCTGCTTTAGGCGCGGCTCCCGATGCATTGATTTTCGACATGAAGGACTATGCCCAACAGACCATAGACCTTTATAAAAGCGTTGCTAAAGTCGATAAAATCAAACCCGCACAAACACCCTTTATCCCTGACGGAACGTGGCCAAAGGAGGACGAGGACTCTCCTGGAGAGCTCGCCCCTAAAGCATGTTCAATACTAGTGAAGGCCCTTTGGTTGGCCCGCCTCTCTAGACCCGACATCCTTAAGCCTATTAACGACTTAGCAACTAAGGTCCAAGCCTGGACTAGGGTACACGATAAGAAGTTATTAAGGCTAATCCAATACCTCCAATATTCGCTAGACTACAGACTAACCGCTTCTTGCCAAGATGATCCTAGGGATCTCAGGCTTGAGCTATATGTCGACGCAGACTTTGGAGGCGATGCCGGTGACGTTAAGTCAACCTCGGGCGGGTTCCTCACACTAAAAGGTCCCAACACATTTTTCCCACTTGCATGGATCTCGAAAAGACAGACATCCACTTCACGCTCAACCACGGAGTCAGAAGTGGTGAGTTTGGCACACTCTTTGTACCAGGAGGGCATACCTGCTCTCCAGCTCTGGGAGAAACTCTTGCAGAGGCCGGTGGACTTAGTTATCCACGAGGACAACCAAGCCACCATTATAGTCGTTCGTAAAGGGTATTCCCCCAAACTTCGACATATCGGCCGGACACACAAGATAAACCTCTCGTCCTTGAAAGAGTGCCTCGATGACCCATGCATCAATGTGCAATACATCGACACCAACGAACAGGCCGCCGACATCTTTACTAAAGCGCTGCCACCACAAAAGTGGTATAAAGCTTTATGCCTTCTTGGCATACGTACGGATATTCGCGAGCCAAAGCCATCCCTTAGGGATCGAAGCTTTTCGCTAGGAGCCGATGTAGGTGCCAAAGCCGCTGCTAAATGCGCGGTAATTAATACATGTACAGTGAACCCACGACTCGCAAAGCGGCGAGGGGGGAGTCAAAATATCACATACAGTGGTAACCCCGAACTTGCTGTGTCATGGAGGGTTCATGGATGTTTGTGTTTTCGAACGTCGGTCGTCAAGGACTCGTCTCACACCGACGCTCGCGATGGCTCAAGAAACGATTGCGCCCGCGGTCGTTTCAGCGCTCGTGCACGTCGCTTCGTTCGGTCGCGCCGTGCCACTTCGCTTTCGTGCTTTTCGTGCATTTCGATAGGTTGCCGTATCGCGCTCCCTTCGTTCGCGCGACACCTCGTTCGCAACGGGTACCAACCCTTCCGGTGTTCCCCGTCGCGTACCAACCCGTGCCAGGGTCCTCCATACAATAGGATACCTTTCCCAACACCTCCCACTCCGTAGGTTGTGGTGGCTGTTTGGGGCTGATATCCCGGAACCCTTGTCACTTTCATTTGTACAGGATGAAGCTTTGGGTGAAAGCTAACTTCAGTAGTCCTTTGATCTAGAGAAGAGACCTGTTAGATGAAATATGAACCAAACTTGGCTCCATGACCAGCAGTCAAACAAAGTGTTTGAGACATGAATGCAATCTTCAAGTACTTGCAGGGCCAGTACAGCACCAGTTGCTGTAGTGCCCGAATCCACTCGATGCATTCGAGTTTTGCTTCAAAACGACGTTCAACTTGACACATTTGTGTGGAGGCCTTACCTATCTGGCTCACCGAAGGCCGGGCCACAGAGGAATCTCAAAGATTCCTTTACATCGCCAAAGCAAGGAGCCAGGATCCCGTTTGAGAGTGCTGAGTTGCAAGCGCAGGTGAGATATTTCCAGAGTGCGAGACATTTCGCCAGGTCGGGTGGGAGCGTGAGATGGAATCTCTTCTGGGGAAGAGCATAACAGGAAGCTACTAGTAACAAAGAGCATCGCTACTAGGAGCAAGGACGCTACTAGTAGCTCCTGGCCTTACTACTAGGAACAAGAAGCTACTAGTAAGATGCCTTAGCAACCCTGGGTAGATCAGAAAATCAACGACACTTCTTCACGCGGTCCTTTAAGTTACGATGGTTTAGAAGGTGTGAAGAACCGTCAAGCAGTGTGAATGATTTCCATGACTAGTTCGGACATTGAACAAACGATATCGAGTTGGTGATGGCTGCTTGTGCGTAGTTACTCGGACATGAAAGGTCCTAATTGCGTTATAATGGCGTTTTTGTTGCTTTGATGAAGGGACTTTTGCCGGACGTCGCTTTGCTCAGGGCATCGGATGCCTGAGAAGTCAGGAGAGGGTGGGTGCGCGTTCAGTGAACACGGCAATTCATGTGCCCCAAAATACGAAGGCAGAGCGTAGAACCAGAGTTGAATCTTTTGGCCTGGCTCCCCATCCTTTGGCAGGACTCAGTGATCAGTCAGGAATCAACCACTCAGCCACCCTCCTGAGTTTGGTTGCACCAGCTGTTCTCAAAAACACAACGAAACGACCAGGCCGCTCCGGAAGCGGGAGGCCAGCCAAGCTGTCCAACAGGCGAGTTGGCACCTGCAACGACCATTTGCTGAGAGCGGGAACTGTGTCAAGCAAAGGGTTTCTCTGCAGTTTCTATCTCCTACTTCCACTGGATGTCGCTGTTCAGTAACATTTGTTGATTAGAATTCCCCTCAAAAAATTATGGAATCGCGGAAAAGATACTTAGGGGAGCTCGCAAAGATCACAGAAAAGCTAGGCTCACCGAATGCTAAAGAAACGGTTCAGCCGTGTTTGTTAGACCCAACTTGAAATAGTGTCAGTGTTTTCCACTACAGAAGTTCTGAACCAACAGCGCTTTGGCCTGAAGTGTATGCAGGTTCTGAAGCGCTTGCCGTTGAGACACTGCCGGCAAGCCATGCACAACTTCCAAAGGTCGGTGTATTTGTGTGTGTGTGTCGCTTCAACAGTGGTAGCTCGTTAGGAACAAATGTATGGGCCTGGAGATTGCACTTCTTCACCGCCTAAATCATTTATGACCATAGAATAGATTAGACTTGCAAGATCGCATCAAGACACATCTCACGAAATAAAGTTAGCGGATATGGGTGAAGAGTGAGGCGAAAACAGCTTTGTGTGAAGACTGATACTTCACAGCTTTTCACATAGCCAATAAGCAGAGCGGAGTGCATCTCATGCCTTTGGAGTGCATCACGGTTCCTCCAAGTTTGGTGCCAATAACACCTCATTTGGATGCAAATTGTTTGGAATTTGGCCACACACTGGCCCAATCCCTCGAATCGGAAGTTGAGCCGGGAGAGGAAGCCTGTGGAAGCTTGACAGATGCGAGCAGCAAGTCGCCTGACCAGGCGCCTGCGCCATTTTATGGGAGGTGGTCGCAGAATGTCCATGTCAGTTCAGTTCGTTCAATTTTGCGGTGCTCAGGTGCTTGTGCCAGATGATCCTGTAAATGGCACCAGTGGGGAATTGCCCACTGTCGCAGCCAATGCAGAAGCGAAGTCATCATCCGAGCAGGTCTGCCGGGATTTGGTGCAAAGCATGGTTTTGATGTTCAAGCCGTCTAGCCCATAGCTTAGTAACTGCGTCAAAGGGGCGGACGCAGTCCGGAGTTGATTTTGCAGGAGCCCACTTTGAGGGAAGATGAGAAGGCTGGGAAGTTCAATCAGAGTGCTGTCCTGGTTTCAGTTTCTCGTCTTGTCTCCAAGAAACGTTGGAAGGCATCTCCCGCACCAACAGAGCCAGCCTCGGATGCGCCAGCTTTAGATGCTGAGAAAGCGCAAGAGGTGGCTCAGACCGGCAGAGTCGCAATCGGGCTGGGAAAAACCGTCATTTGCGTTTATGTTGCAAAAACTGGTGGGGCTTTGGACACCTTGAAAGACTCACTTAGAGCTGGTATCCTTTCGACTAGAAATGATCAGGGACAAGTAGATGAACATGTGCACACAAGTACATGGCCTTGCAATTGCCACATGGAGTTTACGGTTTGAGATTAGACTGTAAAGATAGCAGTTACACCGCAAAGGACTGCAAAAGTGTGCCCAACACTCACATGCCCTTTGAGTGAGTTCTGTTTTTGCAGGAGCTTGCTTTGAGGAACGACGAGGATACTTGGACACATTTAGACGCTGTTTTTTTGTCGATTTTTTTGCTGACCGAATGGCCGTGCCACCAGACTCTGTCGTTCACCACAGGTATTGCACAGCAATTTGAAATTTCCACAGCAATTCCTATCCATCAGACAGTCTGCTCATCCATGTATCGAATGAGCCACTCAGCTCCCGCCCTGTTCCAGATCCGCCCCTCGTTGGATGTATATCCCTTTACATTACCACAAAACCATTTCCTGCCACCCCCAGAGCCAAGAATGCCAAGTTCTCCCTTCTCACGCTCCACCCCTCAACCAGCAAATCACCTCTGTGGCCCTGCCACCCACCTCTACGACGGTTGTTCCTTGGGTATTTCCATCCCTCGCGGGTCAACGTCCCGTCCCAACTCCTTGCTCAGCAGCACCTGACTGCAATAAAGGATTGCTTGTGAATGTAATGTGGGAGTTTGTAAAGTGTGCGTTGATTCACCGGAATACAGTGTACTCTCTTGATATGCTTTTGCATCATACCTGTGGTCTATTGCAAATCAGGTTTGCACATGTGTTGTGTGTTGCAGTTGCAGCATGGTCTGCTTTTAACACCCGTTGGAGGCATTCAGGTGTGGAAATCTAACCACAAGATGCGGCACAACACAAAGTATGTAGGATTCTACGGGGGAGGGTTCTCATGCCCTACAGGTCAAGAGGTTCAACTTTCCACATGGCAGTGTAGTTGTTGATCACTGCCTTGGCACACGCTGCCTTGACGGCATGTTTTCGCGGGTGCGGTTGTGGTTGTAATTGTTCGCATGTTCTTAATGATTTACCAGATGGACACACCAAGCAGCGACAGGCAAGCCTTGCAAACGAAGAGCTTAACGAAATGCCGCCAGAGGAGAACACATTTGTGGACGTTGTTCTTTGGAGAAGCCACACCCAGCGGCTGCGCAAGGAGGATTGGCCAACGCACAAGAAGAAATTTGAGGCATTGCCGAGCAGTTCCTCCGAGGGGTATGTTCGCTGCCGATTTGACGGTCAGCGGCGCCTTTGTTTAAGATACACGTGTTGAAAGGAGGTCAAACGCCAACCTTGCTTTCAACCAATGCAAGGTCGTTAGACGAATTTTCGACTCGGGCTCTCGCAATACTGTTCAACTTCTACTGCGAATGCAGTGCTGCTGCATGATTCCCAACAGAATGTGTTCTAATGTTCTTCGTTCCGCCAGCCGTTCTTGCTTGAAGTCTCTTGTGAAGGCTAAGACCAACGAGGCGAAGAGCGATGTGCGAACTGAAGCTCTGAAGGCAGAGGGGCTCTTTCTGTTTGGTTTTTGCACCGTGAAAATTGCTCCTGGCAAGTGATTTAGTGCTGGGTCGAGAGGATGTGTTTCACAAGCATGAAAGAGCTGACTGTTTGATGCGGATGCTAATGATATTCTTCCTGTCGCTACTTGCGGAGGATGAAGTGTTCATTAGAGACAAATCCAGGGTTAGCTTGTGGTTGAGCATGTGTATCATAGACCCGGCATGCACACGTTGAGCTGCTGATGTGTCATTTCCTCTCCTGAAAGGACTCGCTTGAGAAAGCGCTCTCAAATTGCAAGGCCAGAGCAGTTGAACTGAAGCTTTTGGGAATCCTTTCAGCTATAGAACAAGGACTTTAAGAAGAATACTTTAAGGAATCTAAGTTAGAGCGATGGCCTCCTGCCAAAAGCTTTTTTCAGGCGTACTGGAAGGAGCTTCAGTTGCCTGCCGAGCAGATCATACTCAACGAAGTACAGAAGATGCGACCCCGCACACTTGACCCAAAGATCATGACAGAAGTCAAGCGTGCTTTGCGCAACCTGGAGGGAGCTCTCGAAGATTGTGCCACGTCTGAGGACATGGCTGTGATAATGGCGGGGTCTAAAGGAGTTGTACAAGAAAAACACCTTTAATGCATACCTGGCAGCAGAAGTGTGGATGTTCTTGGCCTACAGGAGAGCGAGCTTGAGATCCATAAGAAGATCATCCAAGAGATTGAGAACGTTGCTTTGCTTCCATGCCTTTTCAAACATCTGAAAGACAAGGAGCGGCAATGTGGACTCAGGTAGCAGTCGATGCCCGTGACGATCCAATACTATGGGTGTGGAATGAGAGTAGTCGCGCTGTCCACAAGCTGCTGTAGCACACTGCCCAAGTCAATACAAACTCGAACCAATGAGACTTGTTTGGCAGCTTTCTAAGTGTCAGAAGTCCTTGACTGCTTGATACCCAACGAAGCTTCAAACCTGCAAGCCTGTCCAGGAGTGGATGGTGAAGGAAGTCCTAGACATAAAAGAGAAATGGCTTGGGAAGGACTTGGGGTGAGAGAGGGAACCTTTGGCAAGAATTAGCTCTTTAAAGCTGAATTTGAGTCCTGTTTACTTTGCTGAGAGCACAAGATGGCAAGAAATGATTTTGTAGAATGCATAGAGTAATTCGGTGAGCAAGGTGCCTCGATTTTTACACAGGCCTCAGCTGATTTTATCAATCCACCAGCTCACCGGGGAAATGTGTGTTCATCTCACCTTGTAGTGTTTGATGGCATTCAACCCACGTGAGTTTGTCCTTTCCCATCTTCAACCATCCCACCTGCTCATTCTGTCAGTGAAATCTAACCTGGCAACTTCCAAATTGATTCTGTCTCCACTGTCTCCACCTGTCTCCAGTTGTTGGACTGACTGATTTGGAGTCATGCCTCGTGCGCACAGGACTATGTGGGTACTTTGAACACGAAGACAGACCTGGCGGTTCTGTTGCAAGAGTTGGACAAGAAAGAGGAAGCTGAGCAAAAGCTGCGAGAAGTTCTCACAACGATGCAAGCAAAGAACGACAAGCTTGTTGGTAAGTTTCCTGAAGCTGGCAGCAGATCTTCTGCCCAGGACCCTTGTTTGATTTGATGCGTCGAGTTGTAGAGTGTTAGACATGTGCAGAAGCAGCATGTTTGGTTTCAGGTAGCACAGGCATGCCAGTCAAGTCTAGCTATCTCATGGCAAAGAAGAAAACAGAAACGATTGGGATTGATCATGAGGACTCACAAACTATCGGTGGCTCTTCCACTAGTGAGCGAGTGAAGGAAAACTTTGCGCTGCACTTCGTCATGGATGGGCAGGCATCTGTCATTGACAAGACCGGTGACATTGCCTTCGAGGGGAACATTCGAAGAGGAGCCAAGTTCTGCATCATTTCTTTTCCAGGGAAGTTTGCTTCAGGGTGGGATGCTTTGGTGGCTGCATTGCATGGTGAATCCGTCGCTTGTGTTTTCTTGACCACCCCCGAGACTGGCCTTGGCAAGCATAAAGATGATGGAAGTGGGAAGTGCTGGTGTAGCCAGATCTATGGCGAGAGAAACTTCAAGCAGTTCGGCTATCTGGTCGTGATGAAGGACCCTGATCCGGAAAAACTCAAGCAAGCACTGGAGAACGCGAAATGTACCCATGCCATTGTGGTCCCCTTTGATGCCACCCCAGAAGAAAGGAAGGCGTATGAGGAAGAAGCCAAGAAAGCCTGGGAGAAGTATGGGAAGGTCGCTTCCTGGGGTTGCGAGTGGTTCGTCGTTTGGATGGAGCAGGTGGGCAACGGATCGTAGGGGGGGCCTTTATCTGCAAACAGTTTTGCTCGTAGATGGTCTTGCCAAAGCCCTAGCAACCCTAGCCCAGCCAATCCTCAGATTGCTTCCTGTGCTATAGCAATCAGCTAAACAGTGGCCAGGTGCCAGCAGGCAAGTCAAGACGAAAGAAACGAAAGTAGGCATCAACCGCAAGCTCAAAGACGGAAGATGATGTTGTTTGCCATCCCAAGAGACCATCTCATCGTGTTACAGAAGGACAAGAATGTCTGAAAGTCCCTTTCAGAAAGGGAACGCTTAGTCTTCAAAGGGACATTCGGCTCCGTCAAGCAGAATCCTTGTTCAAGGGTGCCGCTGAAACCAGGTGTGAAACCAGGTGCCAATTGAACGGCGGCAAGAGACTTCGGACCAATTGCACAGCTGAGAAGCACCCAAACAGCACCCCATGAACGCGACACGCGCAAGATCGGACACTTTTGTTGGAAAGCAGGGCGATCAGGTGCAAGTTCACCTACGCTGAGTCTGAAACAGGTGCAAGGCCACGTTCTTGGTTGGAATGTACTTGATCTTGATCGTCAATTTTGATGTCTGATGTACCTGAGAAACCAATTTGTTCAAGTCGCATCAAGATACGGATTTTGTGTTTTCCTGGAGCTGTTTAGGATCTAGGTCATAAATTTTCCTCAGGCGATTGTGATACCAAAGTGCCAAAGTGTGTCTTGTATTTACACCTGCGGATTGTTCCGCCGGCCCTTTTGGCCGCAGCGAGAAAGCCAACTTAGTGGGTGTGAGTGCGGTGCAGCGGTGGGACGTTGGCCGAGAAGGGGTGACTGCAAGAGTAGAAGTCAAACTGGATGTGGTCACATGCAGCCAATCCGGAGAAGCAGTGACATTTATGCAGATAAGGGTGCAAGGCTGACACAGCAGTAGGTCAAAGGTCTGCTCTGTGCTGTACACATGGCATGCTACCTACTACTTACTACTCCCTGCTCCCTACTTTCTACTTCCAACTTCCAACTTTCTACTTACTATTCTTTACACTGCACGGCAAAGCTAGGGGCCTTCTTTCCATCTTCGACTCTTTCAAGTGCCCACTTCCACAATGGGCCTCTTGATGGAAGCCATTTTCTCACAGTGAAGCCGCGAATCCCTAGGCTCTCGGAAAGGCATGTCCTCACAAAAGACAAAGCAACATATGACATAGAAACCAAAAAATACAAACAAAAGACAGCGCAAACACCAATACTTACATGGGGGGAGGGAGGGAGAAGAGGGGGGGGGGGGGGGGGGGGGGAGGGGGGGAGGGGGGGGGGGGGGGTGAAAGAGTGACTAGGGCGTACACGGTTGAGGTGCAGACCGCTAGTGTCTTTTATACGCAGAGTCTTATCCTCTTGTCTTCTTGAGCCTTATGGCAGTCAAGCATGGACACACTAGATAGGCCACTGGAGTGGAACCTGTACAAGTAGGCCTCTACATTTCAGCAGGCACAAAATTCATGTCCACTCCTGCCTATTGCGTATGTCGCACACTATTTTTCTACCGTAAGGCTAAAACAGTCCAGCAAGCTCTAGTAAGCTTAAAAAGGAAACTACGGTGCCCTGTACTTACCAATTCCAGTGTTTTTCACACTATAGAAAAGGTAATCTCAAGGTATACTAAATACAGTGAGGGAGCGATAGCTTACTCACCTCAAATACAAAGTCAAAGACAATGTACCTCGGCTGACTGTACCTTTCACCGGCGAAGATACCGTGTGCCGGCGCTCAATAGCCCTTAAATAGCCAGAGCTAAAGAAAGAAAAAGGGAAAGCGGCTTTTTACACAGAGACCTATAAAAGCAGTAAACGACACTCGCATAACAAAAGAACTAAAAATTCAAGACCGCACAAATGCAATGAATTAAGATGCCTTGCAAAATGCAAGGAGCGTCAACTCTCGGTCCGAGGAATGGTCTTCTCGAAAAGTGGTCTCGGCCGCTTTCATACACAGGAATGCATCAAAAGGACTCTTTCTCTCATTGACACCAAAAACAAAAAGGAAGGAGACACCGGCAAATGTATGTACAAAACTTGCACTACAATTGCAAACTCATAAAATGACTTAATCATCAACCATGAATGGTTGTCCATTAGAGGTCATTTCATAAAGAGCGACTGTGGCAAATATCATCAGCCTTGAAAAACTGTCCATACCTACCTGCAGATAATATCTGTTTTGTAAAACTGTATTTATCTGCATGCTAAAGTGTAAAACTTCAGCCTGGCACTTAAAGTCAAGCCTGGAAGCAAAGTATCAACTGTGATCAGAAGTATCTTCACTTCCTAGCTATCATTAAAAGTTAGCCTTCGCTCTGAGGTTATGCCGCTGCAGTCGATGGAGCTGCTTGATCAGAAGTTGACGGCCTTCCTTTCCTTTTATTCTCTTTCTGTCTCTCCTTCCTTCGCAAGTTAGCCTCTCGTAGAGTCTCGCCCTGGCGATAAAGTCTTCTGTCTCCAGATGAAAAGGAAGCTGGTCTGAGTGAAATAAACATTGGACCATGACTGTCATCGTCAGAGGGTCTCGAGCACATAATCTCCTGGTCAACCAAAGCAAAGTTCTCTGAAAAATTACAGATGAACTCCTTCGTGCTCACTGTGGAATTTGTATATTCCTCCTCACTCATCGAATGACCCCATTCAACAATGGTAGACAAACATGTATCGCCAAGCTTTGATCCCTGGTATACTTCTTTCTCTTCTGAAGAGTATTCTTCCCAGCGTTTCTCAAAGTAAACTTCACACTGCTTGAGAACACGTGAAGATGAGCTGTAAAAAGTTCTGGGAATAGGTGCTTTGATACCAGGATCTGCTCTTACACGAGCTTCTGAAAACCTGCGGATCCAATGCTGCATGGTGCTGTAATAATAGTTAGCCATTGGCTGCCTTTTGTACCCAGACATTCTGTAGGCCAAACTATTTGCATCGCCAGAAATGATGTCCACCTCATAAACAAAACACTCATAAAGCATCAGTGCTGTCTGTTCTCCTGTCAATCGGCATCCACAGCACGGTGTGTGTCAACATGATAATTACAGACTCTGATGGTATGCATGTTCGCTCGAGTAAGTGGAACACGCTGATCCTTAGGACCATAGTCCTCAAATTCAAAGTCTGCACCCTTGAAATCCTGACGAGGCCTCGTTTCTCCAAAACAAATCTCGTAGATAGCCCAAGTTACATCACGCTGTTGACAGTGACCAAGGTCTTGGTCATGTCCAGCAATGACCTTGACATATCCACCTGGTGCCAATCTAGCCATCACTGCAAGATTCTCCCAATCATTGAAACAAACTGTCCAGTTCTTTTGCTCAATAAAATCCTTGGCAGGAACAAGGAGATGAGCTTCCTGGAGAATCACGACATGTGCACGCAAAAAGAAGAGCATGTTGAAGAAAAGGTTGTTTTCAAATTGCTCATATTGAAGTGACATGTCACTCTGCTTGCGTGGCTTCATTGCACGATCAAGTCCTTGGAGAAACTTTGGTGTGGTGTACTTCTGACCACGAACCATGTTGCCATAGTTCCAGGATAAAAAGGTCAAGGACTCTGAGCTGGCCAATAAGTTAGTTCCATATTGTTCTTCTATTCTTCCTTTGAGGAACCTTTTGCACAGCTCTTCATAGAAGGCGACATAGTCCCAACTGGGTCCCTTGGGACCAAATGCTTCCAGTTCTTCTCTAAACTGTTCCTTTCTCACCTCCAAATCTGCCCGAGCTTGTTCTGCCCTTTCAAGGGCCCTTGGATCGACCTGATACTTGTCGTCCAAATAAATGATGCGGTCATCATTGATGAAAAATCTCTTCAAATCATGCTCTGGGCTGTCCTCATAACAATCAGGTGGAGGTACTAGACAGACCTTTCGAATGGATCGAACAAAGTCGTCCTCGTTGATCATTGACTGATAGTGAGGATGGGAAATCTCACCTTTTCTAAAACAAACATGGTTCAACAATCGTGCGTGAGTTTCCCTGAAGCATTGTTGATAAAAGCCAATACCTGGATCTCCTGTAAGCTCTCCAAGCAACCTCAAAGGTGAAGTATGCAACTCATAGGTATTGTCAACATCCACTGTATCTGTATCAACAACTACTTCAGATGGAAAAGATTCTTGGATTTCAGCCTCCAATTTCTTCTCTCCATCATCCTCTCTGACCTCTTTTATCTTCTCCACCGCCTTCTTCTTCTCCTCAATGGTTGCATCATCTTGAACTTCTTCGTGAAAATGAGGATCAGGAATTTTATTAAGGCGGCTTTTCTTAGATTTCCGCAGACTTGGAGTGTCATCAAGGTTAGCATCCTTCTCGCACGATGGTAAGTGCGATGCAGTTGAGTCCTCACCTATCTCTCTTGACAGAAAGTGTGATGCTGACTCATCCTTGGCTTCCTCCTGGTCCACTTCCATCTTCATGTCCTCTGAAGGAAAACACCTGCATTCTCATCAAAAACTTCTTCATCTTTTACGAGTTCAACTGCAGGATCTTCTTCAAGGACTTCCTCTTCCATATCTTCACCTTTCATAATCTCCATACTACCAGTATAGATCTCACCAGTGATCGTGGAGACTCTTGTGTAAGGAGGAACTTCTTCACCTGCCTCATGAGCTTGTTCTGCAACATCCTTGGTGAGCAAGTCCTCTACAAGATTTTCTCCCATGGTTCTTGGAAGAGATTCTGAGGTCTCAAAATAGTCTGTCCTCTCTGAACTGAAAAACTCCGTTGCCTTCTCATTGTCCTTTTTCTCCTTATAAAGATGAGTAATCTTCACTGCTTCTCCCCGCAACACCTGATCACCTTCTCTATACTTGTTGACAATGGAGCTCCATACTGGCACGTTGTCATCATCAAAATCAAGCTCCATATCATCTGCCAGCAAGTTTGAGATGTTTTGAGCTGCCTGTTCTTCTTCTTCATCACGTTCTCTGGCACGCTCCTCATCCTTCTGGATCTTGTAGACACCCTTCAGGATGTTTTGTAGTACCTTTAAG